GCCGTGGTTGCCATTTGCACACTGATTGGGCTTGAAGGCGTTTATTACGTATAACAGGGGCTTATATATCCATACTAACTATGTGGAAATTGAGTAATCATACAACATAATGTGGCTAGTGAAAACATAAGCAATGCTGAATCAGTTACCGAAATGCTTAACTAGACAAAACATTATAAATTGAAGAAATTCTGTACAAATACAGAATACTACTACTAAAACTACTTGCTAACTTATTTTGTAATGTAGTTTTGATACTGTTCGGAAAAATTCGTATGATTTTTTGCCGCCTTGTCTTCAACGCAGCTATTCAAAAGTTCGGCGCTTACTTCAGTTCAATGAATTAGAAGTTTTTGCTCTTCACAATGCTTACTATTATAAATCTTATCGGATTACTTCTCAGCTCCAAAATTTCAACACTAAGCAAAGTTGCCAAAATTAGTTGTGCAAGAAAATTCTCTGAGAACGGATTTTCTGCAAGTTCTTAGAGTAATCCACGTAAAATTTTCTAATGGGTAAGGAGGTACTTGATATTAGGCTTGCACATAAATTTTGCAACTTTCCTCATAACTTTTCCCGGTAATTTTTCGTTATCCAAATCTATTTCTTCAAAGAAGGATATTGCTTCTATCTTTGCACATATTTGGTTCCAGCTTCAGAAGGAATGTCAAACTTCTGCCACGTGTCAAACAAATTTAGCATGTCATCTGCACGTGCAACAGGTTCTACCAAGATTTGTGTTAGGCTACACAACGAGTTTGTGTTAGGCTACTTAACGAAGTGAATTCAGTCTGTTTAATCAGTTTTGACTTCATTTCGATTGAACAGTTTTAAAGTGAACAACGCCATAATAATAAAGACATTTTATTATCGATGAATCGATTAGACTTGCTTAGAATAGAGAACTGCGCTAGGATTCTGTCATTCGAGAAGCGATGAACAGCATCAAGGTACTTCAAGCTATTATTTATAGTCTTTTGTGCCTCAATTAGCATGGCGAAAAGAGTATGAAGAGAAAAACATTTTTGAATTACTGCCAAAGCAACCAGGATGTCTAAAATGCGTTCATGATTGTTTCGCTTATGTAAAACAGTCAAACAGCTTTAATACAATGACAAATTCTCTTTTACCTCATCGGAAATGATTAAGACCTTATAATAATTTGTGTATGTGTGTCCATCTCTTACGAAATTCGTAGAGCGTGTTCCAGCCAGCGTTCTAAGCCCAAATTATGCATAGCGCATGCTACCCTTCATGAAAATCCAACATGCAAAAGCATAGGTAGATTCACTGAGGGGATTCCTCAGAAACTACTCGCCAAACGAACGCCGACTGGCTTCCGTCCCACAAAATTGGGTCCGTATCACCACTTTTTGTAAAGACGTGGATGTGTTCAGTAAGCAAATGTGCAAGCGATGGACTTTAGCCCGAAAAGTGGTCAAAAGTTTAGTACTTAACGAAACTGGCGCCAAAAGGAATTTTTTGCGTAAATGGGTAATTTGCCAAGGTTCTAGCCAAGTACTTGAGAAGATTTTCGCACAGAGATGTAGCTCACGGTGACTGTTGCCTTCATGGCAATACCAAGCCATGACAAAATCGAAAACCTGTTCAAATTTGCATTTATCTTCCTGCGAAAAGTTTCATCCACGCGAAATCACCAATCTCACGTGAAAAAGCTTTCTAAATGAGTGGTTGTTTACATTTTCTTCGTGGTAGTCGGCATAGCGCGGTGAGTTCCAATACCATGATTTTACGAGAATAGTAAGGCACATGGATAGTAAAGCTTCTGCGAGCCTCTGCGAAGGAGAAGTAACGCACTGGTTTCGAAAAAATGTCGAAATGGACCAAAACATGTCAATTTTTTTATGGCACATGGCACAGAAGCAGTTCCTATGAAACCTATGGAAAATTATTCTTAGATTAAAGGACGTATTGTATGAGAGCCTCCCGAAAAAATGGATCGGGACACTTTTTCTTATTTCGATGTATATTATCATTCTCTGGCATTGTGTAAAATGTGACGTAAGCTACAGGCCTGCGCAAACCATTTGATTTTTAATCTTATATATAAAGCTGAATGTCTGTTTGTCTGTATGTCTGTCTGTCTGTCTGTATGTACGTATGTTCCGAATAGAAAACTCCATTTCTGAACCGATCCGGACCAAACTTGGCACACATACACTACGGGCCCCGGCGGGTGTCATAGGCTACTTTTCGTCATCGATCGATATCGATTTTATCGATTTTTATCGATTTTTTTGCTGAGTTCACCTACGGGGCTGGGAGTTCGCACAGGGGGGTAATCGAGCATGGGGATTCCGAATACAATATTGGTTTTCGGGATTATCGATTACTGTTATCGATTTTATCGATTTTTTTGCAAAGTTTGAGCTAGGGGGCTGGAATTTGGCACAGGGGTGTAATCGAGCATGCTGATCACCCCCCTTGGGGGTGATCAGCATGCTCGATTACCCCCCTGTGCCAACTCCCAGCCCCCTAGCTCAAATTTTCAAAAAATCGATAAAATCGAAATAGTAATAGACGATCCTGAAAACTAATATTGTGTTCGTAATCTGCACATCTGCATGCTCGATTACCCCCCTGTGCAAACTCCCAGCCCCGCAGGTCAAACTTTACAAAAAAAATCGATAAAATCGATAAAAGTAATGGACGATCCTGAAAACTAATATTGTGTTCGTAATCAGAATGCTCGATTACCCCCCTGCGCAAACTCCCAGCCCCGCAGGTCAAACTTTACAAAAGAAATCGATAAAATCGATAAAAGTAATGGACGATCCAGAAAACTAATGTTGTATTCGGAATCCCCATGCTCACTTCCCCCCCTGTGCCAACTCCTAGCCCTGTAGGTGAACCCTGCAAAAAAATCGATAAAAATCGGTAAAATCGACATCGATCGATAACGAAAAGTGGACTGTGACACCCGCCGGGGCCCGAAGTGTATGTGTGCCAAGTTTGGTCCGGATACGGCGGAGCCGGGTAAGCCAGCTAGTAAACTGATAAAAAAATTCAAGCATTTTTAAAACCTGTTGAAAATCACGGTTTCACAGGTTTTTGGCAAACACAAAGCCGTACAAAACTTGAACCAAACGTAACAGGAACAAGCTATCGGCAGCATGTAGCGAGAAGTGACACATTAAAACTAGTAAAATAGAAATGAAGTTTAGAGACCATCTTAGATAAGAGGCGCCTTTTAAAAGTAGAGCAAAATCAATTGCGTCAAATTTGGAGGGCAGTCTGCTAATATTTGAGCTTCGAAACCTCAGAAATCGCTAAAACCTTGCACAATAGGATAATCCATTAATACGGTTAAAGCAGCGTCCAGGCATATTTAAACATATGTGAACAATTTTCTTAGAAAAGGATGACAGGTCGCATATGTTGCAAAGGTTTCAATATTTCAGTGTGTCACTGTACAAAAAGAATTTGAAGTCAGGGAATCTGATAGTGTTTAAATAAACCAAGTGTCTTTATAATTTTGTCCAGCTTCTGGTAGAGTTTTTCGAATTTTTCTATTTTTCTCCGTTCGAACTCAACAAAATCGGAAGCCGTTTTGAAGGGTCATGGTAGGCTAACATGCACACTAAACAGCGAAGCTTCAGGCAGATCCGTCAACAAGAACGCAAATTACGACAGTTTCTAAAGTGTTTTTATAATTATGGCCAACACTGTATAAGAACAAACTGTATGTGAACGCAAGCGAGAAAGAAGTGATAATTTGAGATATTTCAGTTTTATTTTTATTCTGTCTCCTCTTGCGTGTCAGTGCGTTCCACACAGGATAGACAGACAGATTTGGCAGTCATCATTGAGTCTACAAAGATTATATTTTAGCTAAAAGAGAAAAAAGTTCATGTTATTTTTCATAAGAATTTTTGTAAGCAATTAGAAGATAAATTTTCGAAATCCTTCGCACGCAATTATGCCAACTTTCCGGCATTTCTTCGCAAATGAAGAAAGCTAATCGGCTGATGATTCCTGTGTCTTTTCTCTAATGCATGCAATAATGAGTGCATTAATTGTCGCTTTGCGTAAGTTGTTGGCGCTTGTAGAATAGTTAGGAGTTTCGCTTTTTGAAGACAAATTTGGAAATCATACCAATTTCTATGTCAAGATAAAAGTGCGTATAAGTTTCTATATGAGTAATCTAATGTTGTATGTAACTATTGTTTTTTGAATGTAGCGCATTCATTTCCTGGCATCATTAGGATTTTGGTGTAAAATGTTAATGTAGACATTTTCGTCAAATTTTGCCACATGTAATGGTCACAACAGCTTCACTTTACAATGTGAAGAATTTTAGACTGAGTCAGATTTTGCTGAAACTTGTCCTATAAGGGTTCGGCATGCTGATTACAAATAAGAGTCGTTTCGTTTGAGGCCTCTTTTGTGAGGTCAAGAAATGAATTTCCAATTTCTCTCTGGGGTTCTCACGTGGATACTAATTTTGGCGCCCTATCCAAGCCATTGCCTTACCGACAGCTCAGGCAGTGCTTCAACGGCTGGGATATACTACTATCCACGCGAGATGCCCATATGTTTAGATATGCCTGGACGCTGCTTTAACCGTATTAGATTATCCTATTGTGCAAGGTTTTAGCGAATTCTGAGGTTTCGAAGCTCAGATATTGGCAGATTGCCTTCCAAATTTGAAGTAATTCATTTGCTCTACTTCTCAAAAGCGCCTCTTATCTCAGATGAACGCAAAAAACGCAAATTACGACGTTAGAGTGTCTTTATGATTAGGCACTGTAGTAAAAAAATGCTTCAGCAAAATTTAAAATGTTCCGAAATATCAAATTTGAGAAAAGTTATAAGGTTTAACGAAAAATCTCCGTATCGGACAGAACATTCAAAACAATTTAGTACATGCTGTTTAATTCTTGCAAAACGCGAAAACACTGGAGTGATTAATACATGTGCTCTCAAGAATTGTTCTACATATTTGTTTTCCTTTCGCGACTGGTTTTTTTATATTTTAGATCGATCATAGACACAAAAGCCAATCCATGTGAAGATTTTTATCAATACACATGCGGAAATCTGCAAGGAGACATGAGTTTTGTAAACTCTGATTACGATAACTTCCACAATATGATCGAGCAGTTCAAAAATAGGAGCTATATCGACAAAGCGGTAAAGTCTTTTTTACTTCAGCGATAGCTACAGCTGAAGAGATTCCTTTATGATTCAATTGCATTGAGATCTATAAAAGAGGTAAGGTTTTAGGCAGATTTAGGACTTGCTAAGAAAGCAAATACTGGCACGTCTTTTGTACGACATGACCTTATTTTTTTAAAATTTTCTAATACGTCACGATCTTGCTCGTTTCCTACACCCTTTGAGATTGAACACCATCATATGTGTTGAAAAAAAAATCATATCCAAAATTCCTCAAGACGTACGATTCATTGCAGCCTGAACCAGTGAAGATGATGTCGAGATATTTTGAGAAGTGTGTGGCTGCGCGCACAAACTGGAATGAACTAACCAAGGATGCTAAGGTGGTGATGGCAGCTATCAAGCGCCTTGCAGGAGGTAGGTTTGTAGAATGATATACAGATGGTCTACGTCATCACGCACTATAGGTCTTTTTACGTTTTGAAGAGCATCAAACGCTAATCGCAGTCCTTCCTTCACTAATGTGCTGGACGGATTGTAAGGTAGGCGCCAGGTTGTCCGATTGCCTGCTTTGGCAGGACGACGCAACCAATAAGCTGATGTCTGGCGCATGTTGAGTGGAAATTGAAATGGCGTCTGCGATGCTCCCAACAACAGTAGATTTGTAGAAAAGCCTCGCAGAATTAGAGATTGTTAAAAAGGGCTTACCAGCGAAAAATTTTTGTTGCGGAAAAATTGTTCATGCCTTAATTTCTCTACAGTGTGACCCCAAATGAGCGTAAATGCACCGCGTCCTGCTGCAGGCAATCGGTTAGTCTGGCGCTTATTTGAAAACTGGTCTCACTTAGATCTTATGTTTATTTTCGTTTTGACGCTCATGACTCCTCCAAAAGCGCAAGCGAATACTAAAAACAAATGCGGAAAAATGTTTCATTTTCTGCAAGATGATTCAGAGCTCATTCGAAACCCTCTTCCTGCTTTTGCTTTTCAGCACAAAGTTATTGATATTACCCCAAACTTGGGATGAAATTTAGGTAATGGCGACTATCCAGACACTAAGTACCCTTTCTACATGCTTTATCAGAACACACAAGAAAGCGAAGCTCTCACGCCAAATGGCCTTGCGTTTTTACTAGGTCGTTGAGATGGCAAATCTTGTAATGGATTCACCTTGACTTTAAGAAATGTAGGTAATACGATTGGAATGGATGGTGTTGCAAGCCTCGTTCAAGCTATGGTCGACATCAATTGGAAAGATCATAATGGCGGGGATGGGAATAAGTTCTTCTTGGATCAGCCCGACACTCTGATACCATACAAGTATCATATCAGGGCATGGGATACGGCTAAACAGAGGCTAGTATTGTTTTAGCAGTGACTAAAATTACAAAGTGTCCTAAGATGCAATGCTCACACAACTTTTTATTGCATTAATATTCGTTATGAAGTTATTGACGATATACCTTCCTCAATAGTCTAAAGACAGAGCGTCAAAAGTGAAGGTTGTTTCAATATCTGTCCTTCAAAAAAAGTGAAGGTTCTTTATAGAGAATCAGAAAAGGAAAAAAATCTAAAACAGATAGCGAAAGAGAAAAGACTTTTGAAAACCAGATAAAAACCCTGCAATGAGTTTTAAATCTTTCATTTAGCAGCATTTTAGAGCGCTGATTTTCGTTTCAGGACCAAGTAATCCACTACATGGGAGAGAAGAAAAGCTTATTTTTCCTTATGATTGTTTCAGAAATAAACATTTTCGGAAGCGATGACTATCAAGAAGAAGATAAACAAAAGAGGAATTAGTTATGAGGACGCTTTTCTTTTATACTAAGTCGAAATGCACGTCAAAGCCAAATTTATTGTTAGTTTTTAGCGAAAACACTGTAAGACGATAAGGTAAATAAAAACGCACATTTGCAATTTTTTTCAAGAAAATCGACCGGTTGATCGAAGAAGTAAGCCTTGGGACGTTGTCTAACACTATAGGCAGAAGCAAGCTACCAAACGCACGAAAAAACCGCGTTAAAAGTGTTAAATCAGAGATAAAACAAAGAGTTTTGAAGATACGTTTTGCCAGGTCTCATTCAAATCAAAAATGGGGTTTTGGGACTGTTCAGCGTGAAAGTAGAGTCTAAGAGCTTTGATATGGTATGTGGTTTTTTGCCCTAATTGGGCTCAGAACATCGAAAAAAGGAGTACCAGACTGGTGTCCTGTGCCCCACATTTGAGGTAGCGACGTAGTGCGCAACGCGTGAGACGCCGACGAGCAGCGGAGACAGACCAAAGCCGACGTTCCATTTGGCTCTGGTCGTAGAAACCGGCGGGGTCTTGAAGGCAGCGTCCACTCAAATCTACCCCCTCAGATTAATACATAATTGTAAAGCGGGCCCCATCAATATCCGATCTACCTTGACCCAATCCTTTGATGTAGCCTCTAAAAAAGATACCGCCTGCGATACGCATTACAAACCGCCCCTCGTATCAACCTCCTCCTGAGGACGAGTGTTCATGCAATTTTGCAACTGCACTCATGCAGTTGCAGCTCCTTCTCACTTCCAAGCCGAAGGGATAAACAATCCGAAATTCTTCCGCACCCTCAAAAAAGGCTGTCGAAAAATTGGTTTCTTTTTTTTTCAAGGGCTTTGGACAACTGGAACTTTATAACTGTAATCAGGGTCACGGAAAGGCCTCAGAACGACAAAAGCATGAAAGGCGAAATTTTTCCTAGACGCTGCCTTGAATGAAACCTTGCAATATTTATCGTTGTGATCCTCATGACACGGCCAGGAGCGCTAACAACGTCCTTAGCGTTGAGAAACACTCGTTAACGAGATAAGCCAGAATTTTCGTGTGCGACTCTCTGCGCGAGATTTAAGTGCTGTGTCTCATTTTTGTTGAACTCCAACAGCTTTCGTAAACTTCTGAGACCCGATTGTAGCCTAGGTGGAGGTTAAGTTAGAAAAATAGTCCTAAATTATGGTGAGATCTTCACAAAAATCTTCTATGTAGCGTATAAAAAAACCATAAAAATGCGATTTATATATTCTGCTTCATATTGCTTCAATCATTTTTATTCCGGTATAGTCATCTCAAAGGCATGTCTTACCAAAAATTAGTTGCCGAGATTTTTGCATTTTGCAAGCCTGTCGGACCCTGTCTAGCACTGGATGGGCTTAAAATCGCATGAAGTTTCCAAAAACCCCGTTTTCTGGAGGTCCCGCGGAAGCAACGTGGACGAGTTGTACCTTCCAACTTCAACGACAGCCACAGTGGCAGCAACAGAGGGGAGGTGGCTGCCAAGTGGAGGGACATGTTCAAAGCGTAAGGGGGGAGACGAGGGAGTCTTCCGCGCGTAACAAATCGCTTTCCTCGTACGACTTTGAGCGAATCTTTCCCAGCGTAGAGGGGGTCAAATTGTGTGGGACTTGTTGCAGTGGCCCATTTAGAGGTCCCTATAATAGAATATCTGAATATCCGCGAAACCTCAACTTTGATGAGACTGCTTTTGATAGTCGGGATTTCATCCCGGTTCACTTTTATTTTCTAGGAGAAAGTTGTGATTTGTGATGTCGCTCAAAGTTAAGGTTACCAGAGTACATGGCTCAAGAGCACATGGCATCAAGAGTATGCTCGACGACAAGTGGCACAATTTTGATTCTGAATATTTAGGGTTGAATCTTAGTATTGTGGCGTTCGCTAAACTTCTGATACTAGAGTTATTGATCTGCCTTCAATTAAAACATCAAAAAGTTTTTTTTCGGCCTTCAATTGCAACCTCAAGAATACCTTACCTTACCAAGTTTTTTGTTTGTAACTCTCCCTGGCACTTGACAACAAGAAGAAAATACTCATGCGTTGCGTGCGTTGCCATGCAGACACAAGTAGAAGCTTTGGAACAGTTGAGTAAATCCACAGAACGCATAGAAGAAGTCTTTCTGATATAAGGGCCTTCTAGTAGTAATCCACCTTACCTAGATGTAAGCATAGATGTAAGCAAGTTGGCATACATCGCGGGAAGTCGCTAACTTCGGCGGGAGCTCGCTGATTGATCGTTTTTCAAAATTTGTGAAATCCTAGTACGCAATCATTATGCGCTGCCTGCCTCACATAGAATTTTGATGACGCACGCAGCCGCAAAACAAGGACATCGCGCGCGAAATTGCGAGATTTAGAAGATATTGCAGAAAAGATGTTGTCTTCATGTTTTGTGTTTACTTACGAAGGAAGATACTTGGTGACCGTGGCCTTTTGCAATGAGATGTACACCAGTAGGTGTGTCTTGAAACGCTGATTCTAAATCTCTGTTCATTATCTGCTGTGTAATTCTCTGAATGAAGTTATGAACTTTTTTTCCAAATTGATTTTACGAGATTAAGGCCGTCAAAATCTTCAGTATCCAGGCTTTTTAAACTCTGATGTATCGGTCACAGTTTTCCTGAGCTTAACGTGAAGCTTTACTTTATCTGTATGTTCTTCTGTAGTGCGTACGCGAACATTCTAGCGATATTGGTGAATCCTGCATCAAAAACAGTGCAAGTTTCGGTGAAAAAAATGTCCATAACTTCTTTCGGAAGAGCGCACAGCAGATAATGAAAACAGATTTGGAATCAGCGCTTTAATATGCATTTAATGGTGTACTTTTCATTTCAAAAGGCCACGGTCACCGAGTATCCTTTCCTTGTTAGACTTTTTTCTGTAGAAATATCATCAAATCAAAAAAGGAATATAATGAGCGACGTGATAGTTTTTTGACTGAAAGTTTGTGTGATATTGCCGCATTACCCAAATTCACAGACGCCGCCAGCAAGGTGCCAGCATCTCAACGTGGTAGAGCCACGTCAAAATGCCGGCAACTTCTCCTCTCAAAAGAACACGCTACTTCTCGTGCTCTCTGACCTGCCGGCAGCGCTAACTCGCATTTTTTGGCAAGTGCCGACAGGGTGCCGGTAACTGAGCTCTCGAAGTTGCGCACTTCCCAGCAGAATTCTTGCGTTGACTAGTTCGGAGCTTATAAAAATTAGAAGCATTACCATTAGGCGCAATAACGTGATTAAAGGGTCTAATATCCCGACCTGTCAAAGAATGCAAGTTTTTTGCTTCAATTTTTCTCGACATAAGCATTAGGTTCAAGGGTATCTCAAAGTTTTGAGAAAATATAAGCAGACATGCTCCTATTGAATAACAAGTGGAATGAATGATTGCGAGCATTTTATTTGAAATTGTTGTGGATCACATGGCACTGATTGAAGTGCATTATTCCTTTCAAAAATTCGTTATACGAATAACATATTGAGCCGACCTCTCAACTTTATAATCCCAGTAGCACTGGCTTGAGAAACGGAATAATGCCAAATGTTTGGCCTTAAGGTTTACAGGTATGAAGAGCAAAGGTAATAGACTGGAAAACTGGGAAAACGTTGAAGAACTTTGCGGTCAGAAGATTTACCAAAAATCAGTTTTCCATCTCGTCACAATGACTTCAATGCCATCGATGCCAAACTAAGGCATCGCGGAAACATTTTGTACTACCAACGATAATTGTAAGAATTGACAGTAACAAGTATTAGGTTGGCACATAAGTTTTGCAACTTTCCCCGTAACTTTTTTCCTATTTTATGTAGCAATCTCATTGTGTGGCATCATATAGATCGTGATGTAAGCTGCAAGTCTGCGCAAACCGTTTGATTTTTGATAACGTAGTACAAAAAATCTAAGCATTTTTTGAAAACTGCTGAAAATCGAGGTTTTACGATTTTTTGGCAAACATGAAGCCCTACGAAACCTGATTCAAACATATGAAAAAGCAATTATAGGCAGCATGTAGCTGGAAGTTGGCACATTGGAATCAGTGAAAAAGAAATGAAATTTAAACACAAATCAAGGTGGGGCGCCTTTGAGAAGTTGAACAAGTCAAATGCGTCAAGTTTTGAAGGCAATTTGTCAATAACTAAGCTGCGAAAAGTCAGAATTCGCTATAACTTTGCACTATAGGGTAATCCTATGCGGTAAACACGAATATCATATTCATTTGTCGCTAAAATGAAATTCATCTTTTGATTTCACGAACGAGGCCTTTTCATGCGAAACGGATCTCATTTTTGTGATCAGCATGTCAAATAAGCCCTATAGGCCAAGTTTCAGCAAAATCTGATGCATTCTAAAATTTTTCCCATAGTACCGTAAACCTACCGTAATCCTCACACAAGATGGTAAAATTCGGCAAAAATGAGTGCATTAGAAGCTTACATCATATTCCTTATATTGCCAAAAAATGAATGCGCTACGTTCATATAAACAAAAGTTATATAAAAAGTTGCATTACTTATGTGCCAACCTAATAAATTTATTGTTCTTCTATCTATCTCGAGATGGCTAAAAATAACCCTGTCATAGCTGCCGATCTAAACTTTCACTAAAATAGAAAACTACCAAGTGAAAACAAATGTGCTCTCAAAATTTTTTCTTCAGTATCATGGAGACCCTCAAAAGTATCATGAACCGCATCGCTAATTCACAAGGAATAACTTTGATTGAGGACAAACTGAATTTTTATCTCAACGAAGTTTTGGAATTTGACCACGTTTTGGCTACAAAATACAGGTAAGTTGAAGAATAGCTTTATGCAAAGCATTTAGATGACACTTTCAGCACTGACGATACGACACGTCGTAGTTTCGAGAGAAGCTTCAACACAATGACGCTCCAAGAACTTCAAGAGAGATATGATAAGATAAACTGGAAGCTTTTTATCTCGGAGGTTCGTTAGTCCAACATGTTTAAGAAAAACGATCTTATATGCAAAGTTATGTGTGTACGTATGTTCCTAACAGAATTTTTTATTTCGGAACAGGTACGGACCAAACTTTGCACATGCATTTCGGGGAGGAGCGGGTGTCCTAGGCCACTTTCCCTTAGATCAATATCGATTTTCCCGCAAAATTTGAGCTAAGAAGCTGGGACTTGGCATAGAGGTGGGGGGGGGGGGGTAAGTGAGCGTGCTGGTCACGAAAATATTATTGACAGAACCGGGCGGAGCCGAACATACCAGCTAGTGTGTAATTTTGAAAACTACGTTGTTCCGATGCTTGCTATGCTCTAAGTTTCAAAACTTTATATATGCACCAAGAAACTAAGTATAGGATGACATAAGTTCAAGTTTCTTTTGTGCCGTACAGGTTTGAGAAGTGGTCCTTATTTCTTCCAATCACGGCCTTACGTTTCGACGCCTTTCGTCTTCCTCAGAGGCCTGAATGGTTCTAAGTGTCATCCGTAATTCCAGACCACCAAGCGTTTCCTCCAACTCTGCTAGTTTCCGACCTTCTCACAATCTCACTACCAAATAAAATGTCAGTGTAGAGGACATACCGGAAGACACTGCAACTCGAGTAGTCTGCACCGGAAAAAGGCAGTCGCGGCAGACGATTGAATCATACTGTAGATACACCAAGATTATCTACAGTTACAGATCACATAATGATACGAACGGGAGGAAGTCACTAGTTATGTATTGATAAACACTCGTTCTTATTGTTTACCTCAGGATTCTTGGTAGTAATCCAGAATGCTTCCAAAACTTTTCTGGCCGAGATCTCTGTTTCATATGCAAGAATTTTGCACTTGTCATCGAAGTCTTCTCCACCGTGCTGCACGTCTCTGTGCCTGCCGAGTGCCGAGCTCAAATTTCTGCGCCTTTTATCGGCCAAGTGTTCTTTCATGCGAATACCCAAAACTCTACCCGTCTCCCTTATGTATATTGCTTTGCAGTCAAGGCATTCGATGTGATAGACGACTCCCACTTTTGCACAGTCCACAACTCAACTGTGCGGGCATACTATGCATTGCTCTGTTGTACAGTATCGGTCGTAGAGCCTATTTCGGACTAGCTGCTTTTTGATATTGTCATTGCGGATGTCAACTAAAACAACATCACCTTGCAGCTGGGCTCGAAAAATGCATTGCTGAAACGCCGCGGTAATCTTATCTGAGATGAAGGGAAGGCAAAGTGGGAGCTTGTTGGTACTATGAATGCTGGCACCATTCCTAGATTGTCGAGGACGAGGTAAGTCATGGTAACCATTACTGCAAACAATTCTAGAAGCCAAATTTCGCGATTCGCAGCGTTTCCCCCCCCCCCCCCCCCCCAGAGCACATCTGCATGGCCGTCTTGTACTATTGGTGATGACTGCGCGTTTTACCGATGCAGGATGTGCAAACATGACATTAATTAAAATGTTCTTAGAGCTTTCCTTGCGGTACCATTTTACCTTAACAATGCCATTGGATAAATTCACCTGTGCGTTGAGATATGGCAGCCAATCGTCGTTCGGTTTTTCGCGTGTGAGTCTGATGTACCGCGACTGCTGGTTTATGATTTTAAAACACTCGTCCATTTCGGACTGTATTGATGTAATGACACAGCAGTCGTCGATGTAGCGGCAGTACATCAGAAGCGTACGAGCTAACACCGGTTCCTCAACTTTGCTCATAGAACAAATAGCGAGGACGGCGCCAGTCTTTGGCCCATAGCTAGTCCGCGTATCTGGGAATAGTATGTCCCAGACCATCTGAAGATGTTACATTCCAGGCATTCGCTAATAAGAACCATCGTACGCACTTTGCCAAGTCCAAACATATTTATGGTATTCGCATACTTATCCAACAATTCCGACAACGCTTGTAAAGCTTGGTCGTTCTGCACATTAGTATAGAGTGATGTTACGTCAAACGACTCTATAATAGCGCTCGTGTCAAGCTTGGCGTTGTAAAGATTTTCAATGAATCTTTGTGAGTTGGGTAAGTGTGCTGGCACCCTAGACAGCAACTGGCTCACAATTTTGTTCAAAAACCATGAAATTCTATCGGTTGGACCGCCAACGCAACTGATTATAGGTCTTATTTTGTAAGTATCCGTTGACATTGGGTTCATGTCCTGCAAGGAGAGCTTGTGCGTCTTTATAAGGCTGTAGAAGACCGGACAGCTTGGATTTGTAATCTTCAGCCTGTTAATAAACCTGTCTTGAAAACCTGCAGACTTCCCTATCGTAGTCCAAGCGTTGTTGAGTCTTCTATATTGGGTATGATATTCTTTCTCATCAACTACTCTATAAGTCGCTGTGTCTGCGAGGTGGGCTGCTGTTATACGGCGATCCAGTTCCTGCGGCATTATCACAAATTCTCCACCTTTATCGCTTACAGATAGAAGCACGGAACCCGAAATGAGCTCACGTATCTCTTTGAAACCTCGCCACTCTTCAGGTGACAAATTGTTCTGGTATTTCGTTTTGACTTAGTCAGCACTTCTAATATACCAGAAGACAAGATACGGAACTTTATGTCTACGTTCAATACTGGCTCTGGCTGTCTGTAGAAAGATGGAGGAAATGGAATCGCCGGTAACCGATCTGACTCTTAAGCAGCTTGTGTGTTACCTTTGCATCGCTCTTTTATCCCGAGAGAGTCTCTGAGTTTGTGCAGGCTGCCTACTACTTTGCGACATATTGTAGCGCTGACATTTTGTGCAGGGGAGAAAGAGGGACCAAGGCTGAGAAGCTTTATAACATCAGATGATACGTGAGTGTTACCAACAAGTGTGACTCTCACCGGCTTTTCATTGCAAGATGACAAATGATCAGAGCAGTGGTTCCCTCTGTCGCTTCTAGCATCCGAGCATTTTCTATGGCATTCGATCAAAAGTTGGTCGTACTTTGCAAGAAGTTTGGATTTAACCCTAGATCGAATCGAGCTACAGATTAGCTTAGAACCATCCTCGATCCTCCTCCGACTTTCACAAGGCAAGAGACGTTTACAAGCCTGTTCTTTTGCACAACATTTCAACAAGGTACTATACAATGACCTTTGTTTTTCTCTAATGATAACGTTCGAAATGATCTGATATATCTTCGTTATCTTGGAATTATTCTCGTCAAGGCCACAGGTGTATCCCAATTTCTTATCCTTGATGAAACTTGGAACGATGTTCGATCTCTTGCACCGTTGGAGGAATTTCAAGGATTGGCGCGCCACTACCACTTTTTGTTGAAGTGATAGTGCTTTACTTGCCAAACGGAACACTTTCGACGGTATGTTTTCAAGCAGCTTCCAAGTCCCGTTTTCATGAAACCTTGGCATTTGTCGTAAGTTCAAATTTCTTTTGTGCCTATGTCTATCAAACCGAATGCCTTGACTGCAAAGCAATATACATAGGAGAGACGGGTAGAGTTTTGGGTATTTCCATGAAAGAACACTTGGCCGATAAAAGGCGCAGAAATTTGGGCTCGGCACTCGGCAGGCACAGAGATGCGTAGCACAGTGAAGAAGACTTCGATGTCAAGTGCAAAATTCTTGCATATGAAACAGAGATCTCGGCTAGAAAAGCTTTGGAAGCATTCTGGATTACTACCAAGAATCCTGAGATGAACAATAAGAACGAGTGTTTATCAATAACTAGTGACTTCCTCCCGTTCGTATCATTATGTGATCTGTAACTGTAGATCATCTTGGTGTATCTACAGTATGATTCACTCGTCTGCCGCGACTGCCTTTTTCCGGTGCAGACTACTCGACTTGCAGTGGTCTTCCGGTATGTCCTCTACACTGACATTTTATTTGGTAGTGAGATTGTGAGAAGGTCGGAAACTAGCAGAGTTGGAGGAAACGCTTGATGGTCTGGAATTACGGATGACACTTAGAACTATTCAGGCCTCTGAGGAAGACGAAAGGCGTCGAAACGTAAGGCCGTGATTGGAAGAAATAAAGACCACTTCTCAAACCTGTTCGGCACAAAAGAAATTTGAACTTACGACAAATGCCAAGGTTTCATGAAAACGGGACTTGGAAGCTATAGGATAACACTTAGGCATAGGAAAATGGAGAAAAACAGCGCAAAAAGTTCAAAAAGAAATTTATATCATGTGGGGGACTTCCTTGCCTACTTGACTTAATGCGGTACTTGCCAGCTGAAGCGAATCAGGATTATGCAAGAATTTGGCGAATGAAGATTGTTTCAAACTATTGAAAACCGCCATTGCAATCAATGAAAAAACTCTTGCCGGCGAAGGATAGATAACATATTGTAATATTCACGCCACTATAAGTGCAGCAAGAATTAGAAAAAGCAGTAAATTTCATGGAAAATTTTGTGAATAAAGAGCGTAGCCTTCTTTGAAAGGGGTCGGCACATGTCATCATAATGCTCCCGACGATATCAAAGGCACCGTCCACCCAAAACGAGTTTCGTGAGATTTTGATGCTTGACCATAGCGGGGCTCCCAACTGTATACATGCCCAACTTGCGCTAATAAAGCTTGCTTCCGAAGCGAGAGAATTGCTTCGAAAATTGCTTCGGATAACGGATTGCCAGTTGACTCCTCCCCTTTGAGTGGGCGTGACTTTAGTCCCGCCTATCTGTGCGCACTCAACCAGCTATCGAAGAATTCGCCCTGCTTGTTTTGTAGAACAAGGATTGTTGGGTTTTCGCGGATTTTCGACTTGATATTCGGAATCAGGAACATGAGAAGGGCCAGAGACGACAAAAACATGGAAGTCAAGAATTTGGGTAGACGGTGCCTTTAATTTCTTCACTCAACTTAAATCTCAATTCTTACACTCCAGCTGCGAGGGATCAGAATAACATCGAAAATCGGATTTCGATAATGAAAGAGAATCGTGGAATTCTCGAAAAAAAGAAGTGTACCTCCGTGGTTACGGCATTAAGCTGTAAATTTGCATTTAAGAATACATCATTCATTTCACCCCTATGTCAAAAAT